GAGGTACTCTTTCCCCGACTAAAATATGCTCCTGTGGTCCACTTTTTTTTTTTTTTTTTTGTCTTCAAGATTTCTGTTTTAGAAGCACACCTTTATCGGGTACTGTTGCAATTTGTATTGTCCTTAGTAATGTTGGGCATAAATGATGGACATGGTGTGTGGCTATTTAGAACAACCTTTCCTTTGTTGTAGTAATATCACAGGTTGTTTCTGTGAACAGTCTGTAAATGCCCGTTCAATTAGTCAGCATTAGTAACCACTGTGCCCCATCCAGTACCTTTTGTCTTGTATGCTTTGGGCCTTGAAGGAAGAGACAAACATGGAAGCAAGCTATGAAAGAGTATGCCACAGTGGACATGGAGGTGTGTACATGAAATCCTCAGCAGACACAGTACAGTGTTAGCTGTGTGTGGCATCAGCATGGAACTGGATTGGGCCAGGAGTGTGTTCACGGAGGAGCTGGCACTTGATCTGGATCCTCCAGATCAGCTAGTGTAAACTAGGCGAATATAGCAGGCAAGTATATTTCAGGCAACAAGAATAAACTGAGGTGAGGAGGTGGTATGAAGTAACGTGGCCGCTTGTGAGGTGCAAGTGGTCCTATCTGCCAGGCAGTGGGAGGAGGCCAGAGGTCAGGTAGAAGAAGGGATAGAACCACACAGAGCTTTAGGGTGGGTTGTTGCTAAGACTTACTTATTTTTTGGGCCACCCAGACAGGTTTAAACTCCTCAAGGAGGTTTAACGACCATACTTTACATTTTAGAAAGATTCTTTGACTTAGTGGGGTGCATATTGACAGTGCAGTGTCTCTTCAGGAACTGGCATGACCTTCCAGGTGAGACAGATGGTGATAGCCTGAATTGGACAATAGGAATAAAAGAAGGAGAGAGTAAATACACAAGGGACAGGAAATCAGTAGGATTTAGTTGGCAGTATTTGGAGTGGGAGGCATGGCACTGAAAGGACATGAAGGAAACAGGGCCTCAGGTGATTCCAGGTTTCTGTCTTTGGATGTCTGCTCAGACAGAGGTTCTAGAAAGTCTCGCTGTGAATCTAGGAATTCAGCCTTGGAAATACTGCAGCGGCTTTGTAGTTCTTACAGAATGTCACTTGAAGAGGCCCATTTGGACAGTTGGATTTCAGCCTGGAAGTCAAGAGATTATCAGTACATGAGTGGGAGGATCCTATGCAGTGGGTGATGCCACCTGCTGGTTGAGAAGTCCGTGGCATTTTGGGCACAGTCCCACTGAAGGAGTGGGGAGAGGATGAGTTTTGAAGGGGAGTGTGCAATGCTTGTCAGACTGTAATGGGATATGGAGGGCGGGGAATAGCTGGGAGGCAATGCAGATTGGAGAAGTTTTTGTTTGAAATCTGGAACATTTATGGCTGCTTTTAAAAATACATTGTGTGCTGGATGTGGTAGTGTAGACCTGTAGCCTCAAAGCGGGAGGATTACTATGAGTTTGAGGCCAGCCAGAGCTGTACAGCAAATATAGGACCAGCTTGAATAACACAGTGAGACCCTGTCTCAAAAAACACCAACAAAAAAATTAAGGTAACACATTTTGAAAATTATTTTGAACCAGTGTTGAATTCAAGTGCTCAAATATGATGTGTTGTGAACCTCCAGTAGAAGTGGGCTTGTTTTTCATTTTGTCTGTTTTGGCTTCTGTACACAGCAGCTGCAAACTATATGTGTTTTGGGGATCTATTCAGCTTAAGTTACTTTCTCTTGTTCTGGAGACCCCTGCAGGGTGCCCCAACGTCATCCTCCTCACTTTCATCCACTTGGCACCCCAATCATTCAGCTTGAAAGACATGTAACTCTTTTTTCTTGCCATCTATTTATTTATCCACCCATCCACTTGTCCATCTAGTTAACCTTTTAAAATTAGTCTTTGCATCAGGACACTGTTATGAGAAGTTTCAAAATACAGACCCGGTTTTCAAGATGTTCATGGTGTAGGAGAGTTGGTAAGTTGAGAATTTCAAGACTATATGACAGATAATATATGGTGAATAAACAAATGCTGCTAAGGCTAGGGCCTTCCAGCCTTCACTGTGTTCTGGGTGAGATGGATTTTTGAGTAAAACGGCTGAACTGTTGGGGTCAGATGAGGTGAGAGTGTTCTGGAGCAGGGGTTCCTGCCGTTGTACGTGCTTCTACAATGGTAGTAAATTGCTTGTGGTGGGTGAAATTCAGTGTCCATCATTCTTCCCAAGCTCTGCCTTACCCTCACCATTATCCTTGTACTAGAAACAAATACTGTGCCCATTTTCCAAGTGAGAAACAGACATTGAAGGATGGTTGTTCTACACAGAGTGACAGGGTGGATGAGTATTGGAGCTGACACTGGGACCTGGATTTTCTCAGACTCAGGGCCTGCACTTCCTCTGTACTGCCTGCTCATCCTTAGTTCCCATTGTTTCCCACCCCTCATTTGCTCATATACTTGACTTTGTATACTTTTTTAGTACATGAATAGATTGTGCCTGAGTTCTAAAATCAGTCTTTCTTCTAAAACTGGATACAGTGTTCCATACCCTGATGTTGTTTGGATAGTTTTTGGTTACACATGTGTTGTGAGTAACAGCATGGTTTATATTGAAAGATGTTCCTAATCTTAGGGTTGAGATTTGAGGAATTTGTGGGATCACAGTAAAGATAGTTTCTTTCTCCAAAGTTGTTTGGAAATCCTGTGTCCTCATATTGCCTCTGGTAAACAGGTTGGTTTACCAGACCTGAAGCCAGAATGAATTTTGTCATTGGGCAACTAGAATTTGCTGGAGATTCGGGTAGCTGGGTAAAAGTCAGTATTGGTGGCCCTTCCTCTTAGAAGTGTCCCTAGGCTGCCTGTCAGCCTCTTCATGGCACTCCCTGGCCTTTCCATCTTTCCTGACTACACACAGAGGCTTGGGAAGCGCACATTTGGAGTGAAACAGAGCCCTGGCAGTTACAGAGTCTCCAGAGTCTGCTTAGCTGAGGTTCTGGCTTAGTAGCTCTGTCCAGAGGAAAGGCGGGTTCATGAGTAGGGTCTCAGTAGGACACAGCTATGTGGGTCACCAAGGGTCCCAAAATAGGACTGCAACTCTGCAGGTCAGTAACAAATGTTGGGGCCCTGATACAAAACCATTAAATATTTTTGAAAGTTTTTTTTTTGGGGGGGGGAGTACTGGAGAACCCAGGGGGTGCTGAGTTACATTCTTAGCCCTTTTTAAAATTTTTATTTTGAGATAGGGTTTTTCTGAGTTGACATGGTTAGCCTCAAACTTGGGATCCTCCTGCCCCCACCTCTTGAGTGACTGGGACTTTGTCTTTTCTTTACCTGTTCTCTTATTCCCCTCCCCTCATCACCTGTTCTGTATCTTTGACAATGAAATCTCAGTTTTCCTCTGTCTAGACAGTAGTGACAAAGCATAGAGGAAATGAAATTCTGAAAAGATAGCTAGGCTTAGTATTGGAAGATTATTTTATAGAGTTACTACAGTAGGCTTCCATTTTGAACTCTGGTCTAACTCAGAAAGAGCCAGAACTTCCTGGGAGTGTACTGGGTGCACCAGGAAGGCCCCTAGGTCTGTGATGCCTCAAGGAGACTCAGGTAATCCTGGTGTTACCTCCCCTCTGCTTGCCAAATGCCTCAGAGTGCTTGGAGCAATACCTCCTCCTCCTTCTGGCTAAAGTTTTATGTGTCCTCCGTGTCCCAGGCCCTCTTTTTTGAAACCTTAGCACACTGCAGGGAAACAAAACAAGTGGCTACACTATGTAAGTTAATTACTGCTGCTCTAACAAGGTATCACAGATTTAGCGGCTTAAACAGCAAGCTTTTATTATTGTACAGATTTATTATGTACAGGAAGCCCAAAGTCTGGAATGGGTCTCACGGAGCTAAAATCCAGGTATCAGCAGGGCTGCATTCCTTTGGGAGTCCCTTAGGGGCTGTCTGCTTCCTGGCCTTTTCACCTTCTAGAGGCCACAGTCCCTGCTTGGCGCTCAGTCCCTTCCTCCACTTCAAAGCCTGCCAGGCTGGTGGAGTGTCGCATCCCACGGTGCTGACATGGACTCTCCCGCCACTCTCTTCCTCTTGGAAGGCCTCCTGCACCCTCCTGGATGTTTGAAGATAATCTAACTCCTTTAAGGTCTGGTGACTCGCAGTTTTAATTCTATTTGCTTTTTTCATGTACTCATAGGTTTCAGGGATTAGGATGTGGATATCTTTATTGGTCATTATTTTACCAACCACATACACTGTAGTGTTTTTCCCTGGAAGTTTCTGGTTTGGACAAGCAGTTAAATTCTCTTTGCAAGTCTGTTTCCTCTGAAGGAAGTGTGCTGCTTGGGTACGAAGTATGATAGTGTTGATGTGGGTTTTGTCTAACTTTAGAAGAGTTTTCCTAATTCAAGGGGAAGGGAAGCCACGCGCAGAAGCAGCAGCAAGCCTGTGTTCTCCTATCGGCAGCTCTATTTGTCGTCAGATTACTGGGTCAGAGAATTTCTTGGGTCACAGTATAATGTTGCTGCCCAATCTTAGGGATGTTTTTGTGCTCTCTTTGAGAGTAAAGATACTTTTTCCTGTTTTCAGGTGGTGGAAACATGCCTGAACAATGGTTTTTGATAAGAAAAAGTTGCTCATTACTCAGAAGAAGATATTGGCAAGTCATTATTTGGTGATATTTTCCCAGACACCTCCCTCAGGTCACATGATGGATGCCTCTTGTGGAGGAAGCAGGCTGAATGTCTTTTATGGGGTTGTGTGAAGGGCTCTGTTTGTTTAATTTTCTCCTAAATAGATTTAGAGGACAAAAAAGTAAATTTCTGGCTAAATGCTACTGTTTTTTTTTCTGCCATTGTTTTAATCTCCCATTTCTTAAACAGATAAATATGTGTATATTTAGTATTCTATTATGAGGAATTTAAACTTCTACTTAAAGGAAATTACATAAGTAACAACTTTATACCAGCAACCCATTACAGAGAAAAGCACAGCTAAAAAAATATATGATTTTTTTTTTTTTTGCAGCTTTTCAGTTTTTATTGAACATGTTACAAAATGAGGTTTAGTCAAAAAGACCGAAGCCCATGTTTTCCTCAGACTCCTCAGATTCTTCTTTTTGCTTCCACCTTCTTCTCAGCTGGGGCAGCAGCGTGGAGGGGGTAGGGCCTCCTGCAGGTGCAGCACTAGCTGCGGGAGCTGGGCCACCAGCCCCTACATTACAGATGAGGCTTCCAATGTTGACATTGGCCAGGGCCTTTGAAAACAGACCAGGCCTAAAAGGTTTGACATGGACACCAGCTGCTTTAATGAGGGCATTGATCGTATCCCCTGTGAAGGTCACCTCGTTGTCCTTGTGCAGGATAAAGGCGGAGTAGACGCCAGCAAGCTCAGAGATGGAACCATGATGCAGGCTGCTGGGTGCCATGCTAGTCCCCAGATGAAGTGAGGGCCTCACCCCAAAGCGGCCTTAGCTCCCTCCAGAGAACCGAGTACCTTGGGGGCAGCTGAGGAAAGGGAGGGAATCACATGATTTTTAAAGAGGCTTTAACAGATTTTATGAAGTTATTTAACTATATTATCATATCCTCAAGGTCAGTTGATTTCTGCATAAAAATAGGTCACATATCACCTGTCTTGTGCAGAACTAGCAAAACTCCTAAGGAAGATCATCACCCTTGGAGAAAATGAGTTTGGAGCAAAAGGCCAGAGGTGCTCATGTGTGCGAGAGTGTGTGAGCAGGATGTTTATTCCCACCTCGAGGCAGGAATCAGAACTTAGAGTGTGCTCAGTGTTCATCAGTGAGGAGATGGTTCACTGTGTTATTACAGATTTGTGTTGTAAAATGTTAGGTGAGCTTTGAAAAGTACAGGTGTGAGGGTGACTATATGATGCTGAGTGAGAAAAACAGGTTGCTGAAAAATACCCCATTTATGAGGAAACATACTTTTTTTTGGTACTGGGACTCAAACTTAGGACCTTGCACTGTGCCACTGAGCTATATCCCCGGCCCTATTAAGAAATATACTTTTATTAGCTCACATTTGTACATATGCAGAAAAATCCCTCCCTCCCTCCTTCCTTCCTTCCTTCCTTTCTTCCTTCTTTCCTTCCTTCCTTACCTCCCTCCCTCCCTCCCTCCCTCTCTGTCTGTCTCTGTCTCTCTCTCTCTCTCATTTCTCCCTCTCTCCTTCCTCCTTCCCTCCCTCCCTCCCTCCTTCCTCCCTCCCTTCCTTCCTTCCTTTCAGGGTCTCGTTCTGTAGTGCAGGCTCACCCTGAACTCTCTATGTAGTCCAGGCTGGTCTTGAACTCACAGCAAACCTCCTGCCTCAGTCTCCTTCCTCCCTCCCTTCCCTCCCTTCCTCCCTCCCTTCCTTCCTTCCTTTCAGGGTCTCGTTCTGTAGTGCAGGCTCACCCTGAACTCTCTATGTAGTCCAGGCTGGTCTTGAACTCACAGCAAACCTCCTGCCTCAGTCTCCCGAGTGCTGGGATTACAGCCGTGTACCACCACACCTGGCTCTGCATCCTTCGGAAGGGATTCAGATCAATCCCTAACAACAAACCTAAACTCTAGACCTAAGGAGGGAGTGGTGGCAGAAAGGATGCTGGGCACATATATCTTCTACCATTTACAGATGGGTGTGGACAGTACAAAGACAAATATTACAGCCTCTTTGAAAATGATGGGGCTGAAAAATGGGATAAATTTTGCTTTTGAGAAGTGATGTCATTTGATTTATTTGGTATCTGTAACTCAATTTTTTGGTTTTTTAGTTTTTTAGTACTGGGGATTGAACCCAGGGACTCAGGCATGCTAAACATATTCTACCACTTAACCAACCTTCAGCGTTGTGAAAATTGAAATTATTTTTTCACTTCTGTTTAAAAATGTGAAGGTCTAAGTCACCATAGTCTCAGTTACTCAGGAGTCTGAGGCAGGAGGATCACTTGAGTCCATCTCAAAAAAAGAAAGTTAAGTTCTATTGTAGGGTTTTGGGTTTTTGTTTGTTTTGTTTTTGTCTTTGCTTTTGGAAAGAAGCATTTTAAACTAGTAAAATGCTACTGCATTTTTTGTTAGATTGTTAAAAAAAAAAAAACTACCTGTTGTGATGAGGACAGAATTAAAATATCTGTGGTCAATGAAGGACTTTAACATTTCCTGAGGTTTTTGTTTGTGTACGACTAAATTGGTAAAATGACTGTGTATTTTCTATTCCAGATGGGTCCCTATGCAGTTGGAGTAATCAGATATCTGAGGTAGTGAATACGCAAGCACAGTTTAACGTCTCTCTTTCACATGTTCCAGCTGTCTTGAACTACTGGTAGTACAGGAATGACTGTCCCACCAGGCAGTTTGAACCGCCCAATGGACTATCTCATGCCGCCCAGTGTGATAGTCATGCATGTACCACCAGTGGTTTAGAGCCATCCTGCAGCCAGACATACGAATTACGGCCCCATAGTGAACTTGTTGAAGTCTGTAATCTGATAACTTTTTTTTTTTTGGTGGTGGTGGTGGTTAGTACTGAAGAGTAAATCTGGTACCTTTGCACTGAGCTACCCTCCAGCCCTTTGTTTGTTTAATTTTGTGGTACTGGGGATTGAACAGGGCTTTCTCAGTGAGCTACATCCCTAGCTGTATTTTTAAATTTTTCATTTGACATAGGGTTTTGCTAAGTCGCTAAATTGTTCAGGCTGGGCTTGAATTTGAGATTGTCCTGCCTCAGCCTGCCAGAGTGCTTTGATTATAGGGATGTGACACCACACGCAGCTTGGTAAGTTTGGGTTGAGATAGTATTTCCCATACTTTACTAGTCTGCAGAATCACCTGGGGTAAATTTTTTTTTCAAAAGCATCTTATTCTGCATTTCTACTCTAGCCATATCTAATGAGCCAGATCTAGCAGTGAGTGTGCAGGCATGCACACATATATATGCAGTCATATATATGGTACTGGATTGCTTTGAAACTCATTAGATTTGATACTCAACACATTTTGACAAGAAAATTTTGTCTTAATGTTTACCATTTTTTGGGACTTGACACACGAGCTAGAACTTGCTGGTGTCAATTGCCTCACGACTTGTCACCTTTTCCAGTCAAAACGATTTGTCTGGTACTCATTTTTGGTGCTTATCATGCCTCCTGGAGCCAATTAATGACATCTATATACAGACATGTATTTTTAAGGCTTTTAAATTTGGGAACTCCAGATGTAGGAGACCCACCCTTGCAAGCCTCAGCCTGCTCGCTTTGAGGTCATACTGTAGTATATTTTGGCTCTGGCTTTGGTTGGCTGGGTCAGAGATGGTCTCAGTATTTCCTGTGTTGATTGCAGAGAGTGGCTGTGGGAGGGTTTGCCGGTCTGTGACTGTAGGAAGGCACAATTGAGTGGTGAATGGCCTTCTCCAGCTGACTGGTGTGTTTTGGGCCATTCAGATTTCCCTTTAGAGGATTTTGATTTTCAGAGGTTTTTGTGAAGAAGTTCAATAGATCAAAAAGGCAAAAAATAACCAATTTGCATTTTAAAACTCCTTTATTATACTGTAGTTAACAATTTAACAACCCCGCTACTTTAGCTTCCTTGGGTGTCTACAGTTTTCTGATTTGTTCCTTTTAAGAGATGCCCTTCCCTTAGGCCGCTGTTGTTGCTAGGCAGCTCCTGGACAGGTGCCAGCCTCTGGTGTGTACAGCAGAGGGGAAGTGGCCCAGAAGAGCTGTCCACCTCCTTACTTGGACCAAGGAGAGGCTGGATGCTGGGACAGGTCACCTGGCCCAGGAGACCTATGAAGACAGGCTGAGTCACTTGCCCAGGGGTCTTCTGTGTGTGTTTTGTCCTCTGAGGGTGTTGGTAATGGTCTGGAGACAAGCCACTGCAGGCTGTGTGCTGGGGCTGGCTTGGATTGCACTTTCTTACGTAGCACTTGGGCAAAGCTTGACAAAATTATTATTGTGGAAAATTTCAAACATATGCAGAAGAGGAGAGTGTATAACGTTCTATAACCATGTCCTTTAACACTCGGCACCATCACCTTTCAGTCTTCCTTCCGTGCATATTCCTACATATTCACCTGTTCTAATTCCTTTCTGGAAAATGTGAGATGTGGAATATTTTGTAATTTGCTCTTTAAAAATGTGTTTTTCTCTGCCACTAAGATTCATATAAACATAATTTTTAGTGACATCTCTCCCTCATGGAGTTCAGCAAGGAAGAGCAAGACTCCAGAGAGGACAACGACACTAACAAGCAGCTAGCTTGCCATGGCTGCACAGACACCAACTGTAGATAAGGAGCCAGCTCAGTGCTCACAGCCAAGCAAGTGGCAGGAACATCAGCCTGGGGTGCTGACTCCCTGACCCCAAGTCTTGTAGGGTTATGATGGACCCAGACAATGGCTACCTATGGATTGATTGATATAAAGCTGAGCAACCCAGGGCTAAGGGCATGTCACTTTGGAGCAGATAAGTCAGGCTTCCTTCGATCACATGGGGTCTTCTTGCCTAGGTCTTGGTTACTAGCTACAGAAAGGTGGTCACACCTGGCAGGGATGTGCAGGGGTGCTTGGGGTCTGTGGTGAACAACCTCAGCCAAAGGTACCAAATAGGATGTGTCATAATTTAATTAGCCACCCTTTCTTGTTGGTATTCAGCACTTTCCACTTTGTTCCTGTAATGAGTAACCCTGTAACATTCCTGTTGGTAAAGCTTTGCCCACGTCTCATTTTTCTTTTTAGGCTACATTGCTGTAATTAGACCCACCAGGCCAAGGGGTTAACTCTTTAGTCTCAGTTTGTACTACCTAATGGATTTCTGGAAAGTTCTGTCAATATATGTTTCATACCAGTACATGATGTACAGTACATGGTACCCTTCCTAACCTTGAATTGTTTTGTTTGTGGTTTGTTTGTTTTGAGACAGTATCTTACTATGTAGTTCAGGCTGGTCTTGAACTTACTATGTACCCCAAGCTGGCCTTGAGCTCACAGCAATCCTCCTGCCTGAGTGCTAAGATTACAGGTATGCATCATCACACCTGGTTTTTAATTGTTTTTTTAATCATAGTTTTTTGTTATAATTTTACAATGTTTTCTCTCTGTGTTGTTGGTGGATTGAACTTTGTTCCAAGAACCTTGCCTCATGTTGGTAGCAGTCAAAATTACAGCAGCTCCTTTCTCAGGCCATTTTAAAAGAATCACTTAACAGGTATGTGTGTATGTATTTATTGCAGTACTGGGAGTTAAACCCAGGGCCCTGTACATGCTAGGCAAGCAGTCTACCACTGAGTGATAGATAGTGCTAGCCCTTAACAGATATTGATTGGACACACAACCTTTGAGATTGAGGTCAGAACAGAATTCTCAGGGACCTTAAGTTCTAGGCGGAAAGGGAGAACTTCAACCTTTAACCAAGAAAAGAAGCTTATTCCTTCCCACAGTGAATGCTTTATCCAGTTTTATGTGTATGTTGAATTCAGACAAAGGTTTCTTAGGAGTTAAAGTTACAAAGAAAAGCCATTTGTTTTTCCACCTTATGAATAATCTTTTTGTAATTTTTGCAGTGTTTGTTTAACACAGGAATGTGGTTGAACTTTTCCTGATTTCTCAGCATTTTTGTGTCCCCTTGTGACCAACACAGCATTTTTTGTAGACGTCTGTGTCCCCAAAAGTGCATTAAAGATTTTTGAAAATAAATCTGCAAAATAATCATAATTTAGTTCTGAGAGAGAGGTTTCAAAATCATTTTATATTTGTGTCCTGACAGTGCCTGGTCAGGATATACCTGGTTGGTAAAAACCTGGTGACTTCTCTCAGCTTTACTTGGTGACTTTGTCCTTTGACTGCATTGTTACAGACCTTTCATCACAGTTGCAAATTTACCATGGCCTCTGACACAGTACTGTCTTGTACCTTGGGCACATTGTTTTCTTCTCTGAGGCACATTTTGCTCCAGAATCAGGGTGGTGGCAGAGACATACCTGCATTTGCTTATTGTGGGGAATGCTGGGGCTGTTGTGAAGGTGGCCTGGTGAGCAGCAGCAGTGATTGTCGTCATCAGCAAGTGCTCTCAAGGACTTCAGACAGCTCAGC